TGAGCTTCTGCATAAGACCTACGTGTGAAACCTTGTCAAACGCTTTGCTAAAATCTATGAATATCACGTCGACAGACAGACCGTTATCTAGGGCTGCTGTCCAATCCTCCCTCGCAATAAGCAAGTTAGTCAAGCATGAACGCTTGTTACGAAATCCGTGTTGCTCAGGAGCTAACAGATTGTGTAAATCTATGTGGCTTAGCAACCTAACCCGAATTATCTTTTCGAGTAACTTAACGACTATGCTAGTTAGACTGACAGGCCGGTAGTTAGATACTATCTGTCGCTGACCGTCCTTAAATATAGGACTAACTATAGCGTCCTTCCAATCTCTAGGGAGTTGAGCGAGTGAGAGGGACATGTTGAAGAGTGTCGCAAGCGGTTTTGAAATAATGTCCGCAAGAGATGACAGCAACCGTGGATGTAACCCGTCAGGGCCCGGTATCTTACCAGGTTTGAGGTTAGTTATCAACGGAAGGACAGTTTCCTCAGTCACCTGTACAGATTCAATGGTTGGTATCTCGGTGTGAGTGGGACAAGTATTTGTTACAATAAACGTAGAGAAGACTTCGCTAAAATAGTCTGAAAAAGTCTCAGCTTTTGCTCGATCTGATTCAGCTAGTAATTCTGAATTTTCGTGTAACAGTAACGGGGGAATACCATCACTACGTTTCATTTGCCGTTTAACATACGAAAACAATCGTTTCGGACAAGTACGGCTATCATATACTAACTGTCGTTCGTAAGTGGTACGGGATTTGGCTATGGTTTTCTTACAGATATTACGGTATTTTTGGTACTCACGCTTAAATGGTGCATGACCTGTCAACAAGAATAAGTCCCAGAAATGTTTCCTACGCTTTAACAGCTTCCGGGTTTCCTTATTAATCCATGGAGGGCAATGTGATAGCTTACGTGCTGACCATGGGATAAACGGCGACGTTACGGACTCGAATGTAGCCTTAAACTTATTCCATTCATCTTCGATCAATCCATCCGCGTCGACCGACCAATCATTCGAGATAGCACAGTTTCTGATTTCCGGAATATTAGCTCGCCAGATATTGGGACGGGGTGGAGCAGATACGAATTGTATACCATGTGTCCTAAACTTAAAGTGAATTACAACGTGATCACTGTTCACTAGTGGGGGAAGGTGCTGGATATCAAAGACATCCTCAGTGGTGGGTGAGGGCGAGGTCCAGCAGTGACGGATCATGATTGAAATCAATATGTGTCGGTTTTGTGATACATTGTACAAGTGCACACTGAATAACGGTAGATAAAAGGTCGCTATCGAAACCACTACCTGGAGCTGTAAGCTCTATCCAGTTGATATGCGGTGCGTTGAAGTCCCCAATGATGAGACAACATTCTGCCATACTCCAAGAACAGATGTGTCTTAGGATAAAGTCGTCAGCAAGACAAAACGGACTACGGTATATTCCCCCTATAGTCACTAACCCATTTCTAGATTTAATCTTACAACATGCAACCTCACATGTGCCACTGATATGAGCCTCCGATATGGTTATTATTATTATTATTATTATTATTATTATTATTATTATTCACAAACATCTTATGGGTACATAAGTGTTGTAAAGAAACCATTTCGGGTTTCTTCAAAAAAATGCAATAATACACAATTTTCAGCATGTACTTGTACCAATGTTTATGTATATAAATAAATAAATAAACATTTTCGGAAATTAAAAACACTAAAGACTGTGAGATTGATAGGTTAAAAGCAAAGAAAAACGATATATTTGATAAACAACCGAGTGTGAAATTTTATTGTAATTCCCTACATGAGAATCAAAATACATTTGTTTGAGTACAGCAAAATCTTTAGGAAAGTTAACACAAAAGATCTAATTCATGGTATGACTGGTTGCTTCTTTTTTCTTCCAGTAAAAACAAGTAAAATCAGTAGTTAATCGGATGACACGTTGGTTGTTTAAAGAAAAAGGTATTGAGTTCAAGTCCCAATGTGTGAACATTAACACTGAAATGAAAGCATATCCAGCGGACCAGTCTCAAAGAGGACGAAATGTGTGTTGTACATCCCACTGGCTATGAGATGGTGGAGATGATCTGTAGCTCAGGTGAATGATTTTGATGGAGTTTTTTTTTCTCTGAGTTGGACAGTTTGGTTGTGGAGTTTTCATCGTTCTTCTGAACGACATCATCACCACAAACTTCAGGTAGAAGTGAATTGTTCGAATATCTCCTTATGTGGTTCACAGCTTGTCCTGTACGTCTCGATGTTGATTGGTTCTTGTTGACCTCGAGACGTACAGGACAAGCTGTGAACCACGTAAGGAGAAATTCGAACACTTCACTTCTACCTGAAGTTTTTGCTGACTATGTCGTTCAGAAGAACGATGAAAGCTCCACAACCAAAACATCCAACTCAGAGAACAAAACTCTGTCAAAATTCCACTGGCTAGCCACTATCCAGAATTAATGATAAAAACTTATGAATAAATGACATCACGATGATCCGCTTAGGATGCGCATATACTAAGAGACTAATCGACTGTGACCGCGAGATGATAGCAACCAATGGTTAGAGACCTTGAATGACATGGCTCAAAATCGTTTGCAATGGCCCAGGTGCATCCACTCTTTGTATTCTCCCAACTTCTGAATTCTTCATGTCCCTTTCTTTTTACTCTCTCCAAATTGATTTCACTGGATTATACTCCTTGAATAACATCTTCAAACCCTAATTTTTCTGATTACAGCTTATAATTTTACTACATCTAGTACTACGGGATTTGAATCGACCACTGCATCTCTGTGCTAATGTGGTGTGGCAACTCGAACTGATGTACGTACGTACGAAGTTCTACTTTGTTACTGAATGACTGACTAATCGACTGTAGTTGTTAAGATCAACAATGGAGAAATACGATTTTTTGTAAATAAAATGATCAAGTGAAAACATCATCTCAAAGCTTTCGCGCGGTGAACTGACATCAGCTGAATTATTGCTAAAGACCGAAATGTCATGAAAATATACAATAGTTTTGTCTTAGTTTAAGCTACTTCTCAATAATGGGCACTTTAATTCTCATTATTATTTATGTTTAAATTCTACTAATACTCACTACTAAAAGCTCAGTGTACTATATGGTTTTGACTAGTATACCTAATCAAATCTCACATTTACCTGCACTGAATATTTAGAAAGCCTCTTTAGTACTTCTTTCATTAAAAAAAGAAATAGGTGTGCAACTTGCACATTTCTACATACAACGCTAAACAGTGGTGACTTCGATTTTTTTGAATTCGAAGATATTTGATTGTGAAAATTTTCGCAAGTACTGTTAGAAGAGTATATGGCGTTGTCACTCCCTTGTTGCCCACAGTGTGGAAGTATACTTCTTGAGAGGACTGAAAAGAAGTCTGGGTTAGAGATAATTACAACAACCTGTAAGTGAAATCGTAGTTTCCAAAGTATAGCTTCCTAAAATCAGTCATATATGGCCACTTTAAGAGTACTTTTAGATGAGTTATCTGCTCAATTTTAGGGCCTTACAGTCAGAGACGGAAATCTGTGAGATTTTCTATTTTTAGGACCGATCTTTTCCAATCCCCACCTCTCGTCGTGAGAAAGTAGCATATATGTATATACTGGTTGTCTAAGGGGAACACAATACTGCCGCCACACCCCTGTACAATCCTCAGTACGACTTTGCCCATGGACCATGAGTTTTCTGCTCTTAGATTTACAGTTCTCCAACCAACTTGTCTGGGATGAACTTCAATGAGTGAATTTTTCAGCCAATATAGCTCGATTAGGCCATTACAGTAGGCAAGCCCGACGATTAAGTCGAATAAACAGCTACAGTCGGGACCTTACTAAATTGATTTAATATCTTACACTAATAAAACCACGACTATTGGTGTACAGAGACGATTATACAAATTTACAACACAAAGTATTCAATAGTGTACAGGAGAGGTTTGTGTAGGCTGTTAAACTACAAAAGATTCTGATTTCTAATGAGATGAAATGATACATGAATTACAGTATACAAATAGCGAAGGCAACTAGATACAATAATACGATAATCGTTGAACAAAGTAGAATAAAAAATATTTTTCCTCGGGTATTTCTTGATTAGCACATTGTTCATCGGTTCCCCCGATACTCCACACAATCAAATACTTTTCGTGTACACACACACAGGGTAGTCTAGTTTTGAAAATACCTCGAAATACTAAGACCGACTCAATTATTTAATTAATAAGGAAGCTGTCACCACCTTGGTGAAGAACATGTGGTAAAAAAAGTCGTGGAAACAGATGATTTACCAACAATATTAAGGATCTTCAAAAGGAATGAACAAAAATATCACTGAAATCACAAACCGATCAAAGTTAGACAACCATTAAAAACCTGAAAGCACTGGATACCCGTTTCGTCCCAGTACGGGACTCCTTAGCAGTGCACATTCACGAACTCAGTATATACAGTCTCGTACGCGAACACCTAACTTTTAGACCATTAAGGTGGAATCCAATAGTGTACAAGTCTAAATTCAAACCGGTCCAGGATGGTGCACGACCATCTATTGTCTTCGGTGAGTACCTTTGTTACACCCGACTGTTTAGTCCACTGATCACAGCTTCACGCCAGAACGCCAAAAACTTTTTCTCGAAGCTTATCACTAGTGAGCACGTGATAATTGCCAGCATAGGGTTGTGAAGATTGCTGGATTTCACTAAAATCATGAGAATAATCCGATGTTCAACATTAGTGGGAAGTTAAGGTCTTCTGTTAATAGGATGTTTAAAAATAAAGGATACCTTTCTCCATCAGGTTAAAGCTTGAATCGCGCTGTATTAAATGACTCAAAGACAGGCTTTTCTACTATCACATAAACAGAACACATGACTGTGAGACGAACATACTCTTCAGCTAGCACCACAATGGAAGAGCAAGTAAATATCCCAAATAGCTCAGAATTTTAGTCTTATTAACTTAATTTGGAAATGAGAACTATTGTTTGTTAACTCAGAAAGGTAAAGAAGTGATGATGATGTTGAATGAATTGAAGAGTCTAAGTTCAACCCCTAGTATGGCCAAGGATCTGGGCTTTTGGCTGAGGAAACCCAAAATCGTACGAAACAAATGTCCAGTAGTACCATTAATGGGGTTGGTATCCATGATGAAAACTATATTCACATCAAAGAATTAATCCCCGTAATTTACTCGATTAAATCTTATGGTCAAGCTGAATTATAAGGGTGAGCTCGAATAACATAAAATGACCTTGATAAATATTGACCCGTTCAGACAATCAGAAACAGCATATATGAAAGAGTGATTTATAATCATACGACTAGAGTTTAGGATCAGAATTTAGAGTTAAATTTAGTGTTTTCATTACGAACTGTAATACAAGAATGCTTTCCAGCCAAATGGATGAATGAATTTTATTTAAAAAAATTCAAGAGGCACTACCGTAAATTTGACCAGTTTGTCTATAACTTTGAGACTCGTAGCTTAGATTGTAGTCTTAAAGTACTTAATGATGATTTTGTCAATGGAACTAATGATCTACGTTTGATAGACAACATTCTTGTCAGACATGTTCTCTATGACATTGAATTGGTTTGCACATTAATATATTGGATCGCCCTCACAATTCAGCTTTATTGATTTGTAATACTTACTTTCGTTGTTTGATTCCCCATTTCGTCTAGATATGCACACCGCATTACATGCCAATATTATATAACATACAGCTGTGCCTAATAAAGCCCACTGAGATGCATCCAAACACCAGGATAGAAAGTCTGGAAATTTCGGATCACGTAGAATTATCCATAGATAATCAGGACGAGTAGAGTTGCAAACAAGGAAGCAAAAATACATCGATATATTGCAAATGCATTGCCTCGACTAAAAAATATGTACTAAAATCCAAGAAAAAGAATAAAGTGATGGATTAAGCTTAATGCAATCGGCAAGTATTTGGAGACTGAAGAAATTCAAAAATTAATATTAGACGAAGTCACTGATAGTTGGAACATGAAACCTGAATATACTTGCTTTGTTCGAAACTCTCACTCACTAGCCAATACTCGTTTTCAGCTTCTATGGGAATTAAAATACGACATTCAGCTTTTGTAATCAGGATGTTGAGAGTGAGAAGTACTGAAATCCTTTGGTTCGATAACTGTAGTTAACAGATGTTAATGATAAATGACGTTCCATCGTTTGTGAATTTCACACCACGATCAAATAATTTTATTCATTTATTTATTTATTTGAAAAAATAAATACTGGTACAAAGGGGGACCAAACACATATGCGCCACACAATAACAATAAGGTTGTGAAGAGATAGGGGATATAAAGTGCGCATAATAAATAGGATAACAAAACGAGCAGAAATTAGTGCATGAGAGTGGAATAATAATAGTAATAATAATAATAATAATAATAATAATAATAATAAAGGGAAACATTTCAGTGAGTAAAAATACAACCGAAAGAATTCTTTCAGTCAAAGAAGTTACGTTCATTTTTATGAAGAAACTAAAAGAAAGTTACAGCAGGATCCCCACTGGCTTTTATCCTGAGCCATATCTAATAACGTCTCTAACCAGTGTTGCACCATCTCTAGGCTAGAGCTCCAAAATAATTTAGATGAATAAAACAGCTAGTCTAAATGAAGTTGCTTAGGAATAAGTTTTGGTTAAACTGCAATAATCCAGGTCGAACACAATGATAGCTATAAGTACACTACAGATGGGATACCATTTCCAAAACGGCGAGACTATAATTTATGGACGAACCAATCACGTATAAGATAACAGATCTAGGTTTTGGCGCGGAATTCACTCATTCATTCGGATAAATAGAGTTCTGGCATTTTAGCTGACGTCAGTTTGTGATGAAAACCTTAACCTTAATCACCGACTTTAAATCATAATTTTAATTCTTCACACAGGTGTATAACCTTCATTCGGTCCTGGTTATTAGGTGGATACTCTCAAGGACAGTCTGGCGTCACCCAAAAGTCATCCATAAATTACAGTCTCACCGATGTTATGTGTTACGGCCGGGTGTACAGCGTCCTAATGCTTTGATGAAGGAATGTTTCGGCTTCCGTATCCCAAATGCCAAGATCTCTTTTTGAATATCGTGTCCAAGCAACTAGTCCGTATCTAAATATACAGACACTTGAGAATGTCTAAAAAAGTAGGTACTAAGTTAGTGACGGGGCTCTTCAATTAATTCCATGATGAGCGGTCCACACTCATATCTCGTCCCCTTATCGTGCTATGTAAGGTGACACATAAGCACCGTATAGTCTAAATGATGACTTGGTTGTAAACATATCTCGCCTTTTCCCACTTCCCTACGACTAGCCATCACCGAGGCAATCACAAAAAGGTTTGATAAGCGCGATCGAATTAGATCAAAGTGGGAATTCACTCATCTCCCCGAGTGGCCAACGGCTGAAACATCCCGTTCATTTTCTGCTTGAAACTGCCTATTGAAAGACTATCTAGTCAGCTGACAAGATTGGTTACGTCGATCTTATAGGGTTCCGTAGTTAACGCCTAATGTAAAGTATGGAATCATTCTAACCTTTACATACGTAGAGGTTAGAATGACCCATTTAAGTAATAAGCAAATGATATCAAAACCACTTCACAACAAAAGGCCGAACACAATAAGGGGAAGTCACACAAATTACACAGATTACAAACTTACCCTGCAATGATAAAAAACGTTAGGATGGGGATATACGAGGCTAAACCGTTCTTTAGTGCACTCTACTGCAATCTGTGAACACGACATAAACAGGTAACAAGTTTAGTCCAGGGGATAAATAAACTGTAATGTGCAACTCGATCAGTTGGCTGGAATGGTCTTTAGGGTCAACCCCCCCCCTATCAGATGCGTACAGACTTGCGACTTAATTGGCCTCCAACAAACTGTAACGTTCCGATTAAATGTATTGATCCAATCGACCAATGAGCCAACGATTTAAAAGCAAAGGTCGTCTCTACCTCAGCGTGTTGCTAATGTCACAAAATCCAGTTTCGAAATTTTGCGGCTCTATAGCACTAAGGCCACAAACATACGATGGGTTATAACAACATAGTGATTTTAAACCTTAAATATCGTAGTCGCATTAGAATATTATTGGTTAACGATAGTCATCATTCCTGCTTTAGTCTTTTAAGTATACAGGAAGACTAAAGCTTTTATGTATGATTAAGTCTGCTTCTCCTTTATGTCCATCGAACTCCCAGTAAGATTTTCACTGTCACTACCCACTAGTTTGAGTTTACAAATCATAGTGCTTTTGGGTGATGACTTTGGAAATCGTTTTTGTTCGATGATAGGAACGGTTTCAACCAAAGATAATAATCCTCGATGATGTTTCACTGTGCTGATGGAGAATACTGTTAATTATTGAGATGGTGCTTGAAGTGATGACTTCAGAAACATACAACTTCGGCTTCTAAGAAATAAGGAGCAGCAACGGTGCGTTTCTAGGCACACAGAAGACAGCTATAAGCCGACAACGTGAAACACCATGTAGGGCTGGAGTTTTAAAAATGTACAAATATATAATTTATACGTTGGTGAAAAACGGTATTCAGAACAAACACGGTTAGCCACAGTAGCATTTTGAAAGACAAAAAGTGACAGTAATTTACTGCTGAGAACAAATAAGCTAGAAGATCTCTTGGAACCAGTTTTATCAACGCTATTGACGGAAAGTACTTATACAAGTAAGGATGCCGAGGGTATTCGAATCAGAAGTCAGAGACAAAGTGGTTCGAAGACATATTCAGATGGTTATCGGATGTCGAGGAACGTTTAGTTCAAAGTGGCTCACAGCTGAAAAGAATGCGCCGCACAGCATATCCACACGTGATCTGGTGCGCATGCGTGGCCGAGCGCCTTCAGCTAGATGTGTTCAGCAAAATTAACAGGGCCAGCATCAGTTTCAATTACCTACAGCACTATTCATTTCGATGACTTATTAACCACTTCAGCTCACTTCCCTGGTGGGGTAGTGATGACCCCAAAATATGGATAGACAGAAGTTTACAACTGAGAGCTTGTCGTTGGTAGACACTCCTCTGATGGCTTGTTATGTTCGGAAGCATCTGGTTGTAGTTCTCTAACACCAGGGGCTATATTGATAATATAGCCATAAAAAAAGAAATGTACGATGAAAGATTCTTTTCATCGTAATCTTCGTCCGTATTTCCTCTTTTCTGTCCGTCCTAGATAAAAAGAAATTGCGTGTGAATGTCAAAACACACTTGTACGTAGGTAAAAACACACAATGGGCGAAAAACGAAGAGAGATTGGTATATATGCGTTTTGTTAACATGAAAAATTATTCAAGAAACCTTGCTCTTCTTCCAGAACGCGTTGTTTTGAGTCCGCTGTCAGATAACATCAAAGTGTCACCATGATTATTGGTTTTCGATTGAGGTATCGTAAATTTGGGAATCGTGTCTTTCGATTGAACCGGAAGAAGATCGACATGAATACGGTTTCCTTCTAAATACGCGTCTTTGAGGCGTTCAGTGCTGATGCTAACGTTAGCTTCGTTCTTATCGATTATACAGTACTTGGTTTCGCTCTGAAGAACTCTGAACGATCCTTCGTGTGTCGTTTCGAGTGGTCGTCGAAGTGAGTCGCGACGTACGAAGACGCGTATACTATATCGCAGGGCAGGTTCGACGAAAACATCGGTCGATTACGCTCTAACGGAAACGTGTTTAACTGGACGCATTGCGTTTGTAAGCCTGCTCGTGAAAAAAAATCAGAACTATATTTCTTGAAGAAGATAAAGGATCCATGAATCCTCCTGAAAGTCGGAGTGTTGTTCTATAAACGATTTGAGCTAAAATTTATCCATTGTCAACCTTCACTACGTTGCGAACACAAAGTAAGACGAGTTAAAGACCGTCGATCACTGTGAAACGTTTGCAGCTGATAGAGAAGCTTTAGGCCGTGGGTGAAAGTGTTCTATCAACCCGTTTGTTTGTGAGTGATAGGCGGTTGTTATGATTTCTGTTATTCCTAGTAGTGTAGTAGGACAACGGAAAAGTTCAGGTTCGTACTGGTTTCTACGGCCTGTAGTGATAGTTGGAGAGCAGCCAAAGTTTGCCATCCATCATTCGACGAGAATGCGGGCCACCGTTACATCAGTAATGTCCTTGATGGGTACTAATACCACAACCTGATATATTGTCTTGACTGCACTGCTCCAGTTATTGGCCGTGTGGCTTATAATGCTAATAGGGGCCAAAATACTTTTAAAAGAAAGCTGAGGAAATTAAAATGCCGCTACTACGAGCAGAATGATGTGTATGCACTTCAGAGTATACTTAAATTAATCAACAGAAATGCTTCATCTAAACGTAAGTATTTTATGAATATAGAAAATAAAGCTCTACGTAGTAAAAGCCCAGAATTATCAATACTTCGGCTTTTTAAATCCCGTGTAAAGTCAAATTCCCTTGGCACGACTAAATTCTTCATAGTTAACGGAAGCATTGTTAACGACCCGAATACTATTTGCGAACAATTCAGCAAGCACTTCTCGCAGTGCTACAAAACTGGAACTGAAAACTCCATCATTACATTTCCAATGCTGACATCCAGACATCTGTCGAAAATTGATTTTACACCCTCCAACATCAAGCAGGCCATAGCTGCCCTGAAAAAGTCTTATGATGGTGGACCTGACGGGATACCTTCATCATTTGTGAAATATGGAAGTAGAGAATTTCCACTATTTTGTTTGAAACTTTTCAATCTATCTATGGAATATGGGACCTATCCATCTGTATGGAAAACATCCCTTATCACCCCTAGATTCAAAACAGGACCACGTAGTGATATTATTAACTATAGGCCAATTAATTTGACATCCGTGCTCTCAAGAACCATGGAAAAAATCATCCACAAACAGCTACTATCATTTTTACTTTCGGCTAGTCTGATCAGCCCATCCCAACACGGGTTTATGACTAAACGCTCATGTTTCACATCGCACCTGGAGTTTTTTGATCAAATTACCCAGAGAAGAGATGTTGGTCAGTCAGTGATAATTCTTTACTTCGATTTTAGTAAGGCTTTCGACAGTGTCTCACACAAACTTCTTCTTTTAAAACTCTCTTCATTTGGCATACAGAATCCCCTTTTATCTTGGCTCAAATCTTTTTTAGAAGAACGTAACCAAATCGTTCGCTTTGGATCATGCTACTCTAAACCTGTGAATGTAACCAGTGGGGTTATACAAGGAAGTGTGGTTGGTCCATTACTCTTTCTCCTTTTTATCAATGATGTGTGTTCCCTCTTTCAGTATGGTAAGCCTTTTCTTTTTGCTGATGACCTGAAAGTAGTTTATTCATTCTCTTCTCCCACGAAAGAAAGCTATATTTCAGCGGTAATCCAAGAGGAAATAAACAAGTTGTACGAATGGACTATTTCGTGGAATATGCCACTTAATGTTGACAAAAGTGGATTTATTCACATTGGTCGCTGTCTTAACTTAAATCTGACTGTACAGACACATACACTCAAACCTCTTAACACTGTTCGTGACCTGGGTTTAAGATATAGCAACAGTCTGAACTTTTCTGAACACATTATATCTCAAGTATCCAAAGCTAGAAAGCTCATCGGATTGATAATGATAAACTTCAATAATATCGAATCGAGATTGTTACTATACAGAAAATGTATCTTACCCATTCTTGAATATGGTATTTTAGTTTACAGTAATTGTAGACATACTGACCTGATTAGAATTGAAGGTGTTCAAAGAAAGTTCACCAAAGCTGTTCTGGGGTATTCCGATAACAAAGACTATTACCAAAGATGTCAACAACTCAACTTAGAGCCTCTTTGGATCAGACGTATCAAATTAAATCTTGTCTTTATCTACCGGCTTATTAACGGTATTTCCTACTCTTCGGTATCCACCCCTTCATACCTTATGATATCATCCCACAATCTACGCAATAAGGAGAATATTCTAGCGATTCCAAGAACCCACACAAACTTACGTCAGAATTTTTTCCTTATTCGCTACTCAACCATGTGGAACAGACTGCCAGTGAACCTCCGTTGCAGTGAAACTACAACCCGGTTCAAAAGTCTCCTTGACGATTTTCTTTCCGAAAGTGGATTATGTCACCTATTGAATATCAATGTATTCAATAATGATTTATACAAACAAGGTCCGTCATCCATTTAATTGCTTGAAAAGCAAAATAAAACCTTTAAATCTTTCCACATCTATTTTATTTTATTTCTATTTATCTTAATATATGAAATCTGATTATGTTCGTGTTTATCATTATTTCCGTTATTAATATCATTATTAGTTCCCTGACACATTAGATATTCTTTTTGTATCTTCTTATCCTTCTAAACATATTTAACTCCAGATTGTCCTTTAAAATCAATTTTGACTTTCATAGCATCAATCTTAATTATTATTGCACAAATATTTATACTAATATCCGGTTTCACTCTGTATACTATTACATAAATCTAAATGTATTCATCCGAGTGCTTTAACGGATTTTTATTTTATTTTTTCAATTGCTGGTTTCCTTCTGAGGTTGATATTCATTACACAATTATTATTCTTATCATGGATCAAAACTTTTCACTAGGTGTTCACTTCTTTTCACTCTTCTTTCCCTCTAAATAAATATTCTTAAGATTACGAAGTTTGTAATTAAAACAATAACTTGTGTTACACTTAAATTAAATTCTCAGACCCGTTTTATCTTCACTATGCATATATGACTCATACATATTGATATTTTATTATCCTTTTCATTTAATTGTAACTTTCATAGCATCACTCTAAACTATAACTGCACAAACATTTATTCTAGCGTCATATCTTACTGCAATTATAAGTTATTTTTTCTTAATTATTTTTTGTTACTAATTTAACGATACACACATAGTCGTTTATTCTTGTTCTGTGTTCGTAAACACGCCTATTAGACTGTTTGCGTATTTCACGTCTCCTTTATT